AAAAAAAAAAAAAAAAAAGAATCTTAACCTTAACACATTTTGGCCAAAGAGAGAAATTGTGGAAATCAGATCCTAAGGGCTGGCATTATATAGCTCAGTGGTAGAGTACCTGCCTAGTATTTGCAAAGTCCTAGATTCAATCTCAAGAAACAAGCAAATAAGCCTAACAATATAATCAAACTTACAGAAAGTAATGCCAAAAGATGTTTACCACACCATAGTTTATGATGGTAAAAAACTGGAAATAAGAGAGATGGCTAAATTGGCAGAGCTATTAACACAATCATTAACAATCATACTACTATTCTCATCCTGACCAGTGGCAGTACAACCTAATACAACTTCCTCACCAAAATGTTAAATGAAGCCAAATACACATAACTCTAATCCCTGCTACTGGGGAGGTTAAGGCAACAAGATTACAAATCCAGGTCATCTACCAAGACCTTGTCTCAAAATTAAAAAAGAGATGAGGGTGTAGCTCAGTGTCAAGCTCAATCCCCAGTACCAAAAAAAATAATAATAGTAAGTTAAATGTGCCTGTCAAAAATTTTTTTTGGACTTAGGAAGTTACTATAGAATATAACCTAGTGAGTTAATCAGACAAGCACTCAAAGGTTCTATGCCCCAAAGAGGTTATAGAGTTGAAGGTTTAATACCTTCAGTGTCTTAAAATGGCCAGTTATCATCAACATTCAGAAAGTGATTAAATTGTAACACATCCACAGAATGGATCACCGTTAAAGCACCAAACACTCTAAGAGCATCCACACGGTTCCTCAAAGTATACGGACACAGACCCCTTTGAAACACTGATTAAAACTCTGGAACCCTCCCCCAAATAAGTTTTTCCTATTTTGAGAGGCTCTGGGTCTCCATAACTCCTCCACTGGCTCAAGCAGGAATTCCTGGCTCTAGTTATACCTGTTAATGAGAACAATCCACACAATGCTGTTATTATGTGAACGGGGTAAGTTAGAAACACAAGGTGGGATGCCATTCTTGTTAACACACAAATATGAGAACGAAGTACAGTATGCAAGGTATGGAAAAGTATGTCTTAAAGATGCACAGGCCTATATGAGACGCTGTTATACCCTTACCTCTTTATTCCTTTCCCCCTCAAAAGAAACCAGCTCAAAACTGTGAGGTGAACTGCCACGTCACACAGCTGTCAAAAGGACTTAACCCACATGCTAAAGTCAAATCCTAGGCCTTTTTCCTTTACACCACTCTGATTCACTTTACATAACTCATCAAAAATATCCCAAAACATGAAGGACTACATCATCTTGGCTAAATTTGTAAATGTGCCTCTCAAAACTTTGATAAAATTTAACTTTTACAAAGTACATTAAAAATTATTAAATATTGAATATGAGTTTAGAATGCCTAAAACATTCTAAAGAGATTGAGATTTCATTAATTATGTAAAATGCTTTAAACAACACTGTGAGGAGATCTTGAAATAATTGTATTCTTGTGACAATTTTACAGGTTTAAAATTGCTTTATATGTAATGTGCAACATATGCCACAAGAGGGAGCTTTGTATTTAAAATTAAAATTCAAAACTGTTGCTGCCAGAGATTTAGCTCAGTGGTACCACTGCCTCCCTTGCAAGTGCAAGGTCCCGAGTTTGGTCCCGGGTACAAAAATAGAAAAAGAAAATAAAAATTTTTTTAAAATTCAAAAATGTCTTCAGAAATCTTAATAGTCAGGAGGAATGTATCTCATTGGCAAGAATTCTCCTGGAATAGGATGATGACTGTATATACAAAGGGTTTAGCGTAGCCAAGCTAGAACAGGACTCAGGTAGACCAGGCTTCCTATCCAGGTGATTCTGTGCCTTGGTTTTCTCATCTGTAAAATGGAAACTATACGCAGTACTATTAGCCTTGCTGCATACCCACTACTGAGAAGCAGGCCTGTGCTAGAGATGTAGATGAGGATCTGCAAATTCTCAGGAAGGCAAGAAACAGCAAACTGAGGCATTCAGGGACTGGGACAAACAGCATATTCCCATTAAAGGTGACATCTACCACTCTATTCCAGGTTACTGCCGTGTGTTATACCATCCTCTTTTTGAACTTTTTGAAAAAAGCCAAAAATCCAGAATTTCAAAGTCAAGCTCCCAATTTATGATTTTTTACTACTATTTTTTTTAAATGTCATATGACTTAAATAAATCCCTCTACAGGCCAGTGGCCTATGAGCTATCAGTTTACACTCTTTGCTTTCTATTTATGCTTCCCTTTAACTCACAACAACCCCAGGGGCAGATATCATGATGTCCATTTCACACATACGGAAAAAAGCCAAGAATCTGCTACGGGTGAGGCAAATTCCAAAAGGAAAAGCCAGTTTTCAAACCCAAGACTAAACACCCAGGCTGTTTCTACTGCAATACAATGCATCTCTCACATACTGTAAGAAAGTGGACTTACGTTCTGAAAACTGTCAAGACATATGCAAAGTAATGACAATATTGAAGAAGAAAAAGACACACAACTAACTACTCATAGGAGGCCACAGAGAGTAGGGCAAGGTCAGGCTAGGCAACTGACCACCCTGCTACAGTAAAGCCTTCATTTGTTCACTTGGAAATAGGTGATGACGGAAGTGACGGTGATCTGGCTGTAGTATCTGTCACCTTACTGATCACTAAGGTTGATTCAGCTGATCTGGCTGGCTAGGCAGGTGTCCCCTTCCTCCCTCACTGCTCCCGGTACATCCCGCCTGAAGCTGCACACTCAGCTGAAGAGGATGAGGCACCCCCCGCTAATGGAGGACCTTTTCCTTGGTCAAGGGAATATGAGTAGTTGCGCTCCCCTGCTAGAACCTCCAAACTCTCCAGATACAGGAGATGGTAATAAGTAGCCCCACTCTCAGAGATCATACATGAAGCATTTTAAAACAAGGCCTGGAACTGAATACGAGACAAAGGTTGGTTAATTATATTATTATACCTACTCACAAACAACTACAAGTATCAATTTTCACTGCATTAGTTTGCTCCTAAAAGAGGGAGGAAAAAAGTCACTTTATTTGTGTGTTGGGGGTGGGAGCGTAAGATTCACAGGACAAACTCAAAGGTTCGGCCAGCTCTCGATTTCTTACCCCGAGTAAAAAGTTCCTGATACAATTGTTATGGTTTAGATCTTAAATAGCCTCCAATGCTTCATGTGTTTGTAAGGTGAATGGATTATGGGGACTTGCAGCTGACTTGCTATTAGGATATGGGGTCACTGTGGGCGTGGCCTGGAAGGGTTCTATAAACTCCCTTCCCAGCTTGATTCTCTGCTTCCTGACCACCAAAAGAGCATCCACTCCTCTGCCATGTCCCTGTGCTATGCTGTCCTTACAGCCAGCCAATTATGGATTGAAGTGAGCCAAAAATCAACCTCTCCTCCTTTAAGATGTGGTTATTTTGTCGAAGCAATAAGAAGTTACTAAAACACAAGTAGTATCCCTAAGCTTCAAGAAAGTAATTGTTCACATGTGATTTATTCTGAGGAAGGAAAAAAAAAATCCAACCCTATAAATTTAAATGCACTATCAAATGCCTTACAAAATTAAAATGGCTCTTTGTACTCCAGAGCCTGAGGCGGGAGGATTACTATGAGTTCAAGACCAATCTAAGCTACATAGTGAATTCAAGGGTCAGCCTGAGAACCTACCTCAAAAAAAAGGCTTTTAATAACACCTGATTTCTGAAATAAAACATGTACTTCTGAATGCTTTTTCCCTAGTTTCCAAGCTTCCCTTGGCTGAGAATCTAAGATATGAGAAACAGATGCTAAGAAAAACCCTGTCCTACAGTCATACCTGAAAAGCATCTGCTTCAGCATCCGATTGGCCGTCACAACTCTGGGAAGGCGACCAGTGGTGAGGGAGTGGAGCTCCAAGTTGGAAGAAATGAGCTGGGTTGTCATGTCTGTGTCTGCAGCCGTCCCAGCACCACAACAGCTGAAAGATACAATGAGGAACTTGGGTGACATAAATTCAATTACCCAGAGGCTCAATTTGAAGTGAGTTTGCTGGACAACTTTCACAGAGTGCAGGTATACGGAGATGTTTTGAATATATGTGCAACAGAATGGCTCTGTCTAGCTAACTTAAACATGAAATTGAGAATACATCTCTAATTAAATGCAAATATATTCTCTATGGTCCAGTGGAACATTTTAAATCATTGGTTGCTATTCCTCTAACGGAGAGCACATTTTACTAATACTACAAATATATCCAACTTTAAAAAGCAAGGTGTGTTAAAGTCTTGCAATTCATCATTTACCAAGTATTCGATACCAGGTACCCATCATTACACTAAGGACTAGGAATAAAGAAAATATGATAATCTGGGTTCTTAATTTTAAAACTGAGAAGACACACAAATAGACAAAAATTATAATATACTATATAATATAGTAACACAAGTACAAAATGCTATGGGAAACTGGAGGAGAGAGCAATTTATTCTGATACTTAAGAAAAGGTTTCAAATAGAGCCGGGGATTTAGCTCAGTGGTGCCGCCGCCTGCCTCGCAAGCACAAGATTCTTAGTTTGACCCCCAGTACAAAAAAGAAAGAAAGAAAAGGTTTCATATGAGCTGACTGTAGAACATTAAAAACACTAGAGGCTATAAGAGGAAAGGGCATAAGCAAAGGCGAAATATCCTGGAGATGCAGGAAACAGGGACACCAGGATATGATGGCAATAGGGACAGTACGGATGTAACTACAGCACAGGGAAATGGCATCTGGAAAAACCTGAAATGTAAACTTATTTGGAAAATATGTAAGGCCTTAAATATCATGCTACAGATTTTCAATTTTTATCCTGAAAATGTGTATGTGGAAAGTCTCTCAAAAATTTTAATAAAAAGAGTTATCAGCAAATCTGTGTCTTATAAAGTTCAATATAGCAGAACATAGTGAGTTCAGTGAACAATAAGATGGAGAAAAGGGAGGCTAGGGAAATGTAGAAAAAATAAGAACCAAGATATGTAATGTGAAGGTACAAGATACCAATAATGAAACTGTATTGTGTATCTAAAATGTACCAATAAAGATTGAGTTTATAATAATAAATAAACAAATAAATAAATAATGTTTTAAAAGATGGAGAAAAGACCAGAGGCAGAGAGGCCGATTAAATGACAAATGTAGTAGTGCAACTAAGAAAACAGAACCCAAACCAAGGTCTTAGCAGAGAGAAGAACAGGAAGGAATAGATTCAAGAGGCACAGAGAAGGCAGAACTGGCTGCCAATTGGACTAGAGACAAAAGCAAAGAGAGGACTTGAAGACAACTACCTCAGGTGACAGGTAGATGTAAAACTCATTTAAGAGAGACAGAAAACAAAGGCTGAACAACTAGGTTTAGTGAGAACAGATGTTCAACTTTAGCTCTACTGGGTTTGAAAATTTAAGAACTATTCAAACTAGCCAATACTTACTAAATATTAGGTGCTATGAAGTGAATTTTTGAACAGTTCTTGTCAGCAACAACCATCCCTTCAGTTGCTCTTGTATCTGCTCCAAGAACTATGCCATCCTATTACAAAAAAAAAAAAAAAGTTTTAAACTTTACATACATGAACCACAGTACTCTATACTGTTTAGGAAAAACTTTGTCGGCAATATCTTGCTCCCACAGTCTGATACCATGAGCCAAAAATACCCTATACTCTCAGAATCAAGAAAAGGCATCTTAATAAATATTACTAATTGTAGCCACCAGGTATGGTGAAATGACATCATTCCCATTTTCAAATAAGGTTCAGAGATTCAGTGAATTCTTCATAAATCACAGAAAATCTTTTTTTTTAAATCTGGATTAAGACCCAGAAATCTTACTAAAACAGCCACCTCTGTCAATTTGTCTTTTAAAATGTGTCATGCCCGGCATGGAGGCACACACCTGTAGTCCCAGCACTTGGGAGGCTGGAGTAGAAGAACTGCCAGATTTCAAGCCCAGCCTGGCCTACATAGTGAGCTCAAGGCCAGCCAGAACTACCTAGTGAGATCTTGTCTCAAAAAAGGAAAAAAAAAAAAAAAAGTGCTCTCTTCATGTCTAACAATATTAATCACTATCCCCTCCAACCCTTAGGAAAGAAGTTAACACCCACGTAAATGGAGAAGGTACTGTTGCAAAAAGAAAAGTGAGCTGCCCAAACTTGGAAGCAACATAAAAGCATTCAACAGTTAGACGTACGTGTCTGACCCCAAATTCTGTGATGTCCCATTACATTACCCAGCTTCCTAAAGTAACTGAAGAAAAAGCAAACTGCCTTCCTATCAAAAACTGCAACGTCAGCAAAGAACATAAACTGTTAAGCGCACAAAACCTTCTGACAAAAGCTGTCTCTTCTAAAAGACCTTTTTACCAGATGTGCTCCTTAACACCTGCCCTTCCGGATCCACCTGAGAGAGAGAGGTTCAAATGGTCCGGTTCCTGCTATCAGGCTGTCATGGCTGTTCTCGACCCGTCCCTCTTACCTTATAGACCAACCCTGCAATGGTAGTGCCAGTTTTCCGGGCTTTAGGAAGCTTGAACCCCTTCTTTGCAAAATCAGCTTCCAAGACGGCATTCCTGAGAGCAAGTGCGAAAACGAAGAGTTGAAAAGTAAGACCCCACTGCACCGTACCAAAACGCAGAGTGCCCAACAGGGAACTCAGGAAAGCTGTTCCCCTTCACGCCCATCTGTTCACCGAATCCTCCGACTTTCATCGAAGAGAGTACCAGAGGAGGCTGTGACTCGTCCGAAAAGACCAAGACAAGCGGTGTCCTAGTGCAACGGGAAAGTGAGAGGACAGAACCCGGCCTCAGGGCAAAGCCACGCTCAGGCCCTTAATTCCCCTGAGTCACAAGGGCCCCGTCATATATCCCTCGCTCGCACCTCCCCGCCAGGCGGGAGCCCAGCTCCGACCCCGCCACAGCACTCCCACTCCCGCCCCGAACTTGACCCTCACATAGCCGCACCTGCGGCAATTATCAAACGAGAAACCTCCAACCGGTGGTTCATGCACCGACACAGCCGCCATCTTCCCCAGAAAGTATTTCCGGGCCGGGGGTTGAGCCAACAAAAAGAGCCGGGCACTTCCGGCGCTCCGGGAGACAAGGGGTCGAAGGGGCGGGGTAAACTCTGCTTTGGAGCGAGTATCGTAGAGCTCGCGCTTCCTAGAGAGGCCCAAACGTGCTTTGCACATACCGCCTCCAGTGCTGTGGAGGAGTAACTGACGCCCGGAGCCCTCTAAGATTTGTCTAAAGCAACCGCGCCAGCCTCCACTTCGGGATCAGATGTATTTCTAAGGTTAAGGTGGCACCGCGTTGCTTCCCGAGACATTAACACCCAAGACCCAGAAACCTTCTTGGACAGAGCAAGTCTCTTCACCTCTCTGAATCTATTTTCCCCACTGTCAAATGGAAAGAACACTTTCCTCAAAGGGCCAATAAAGAGCTGAGTATGATGGCTCAGCAGGCCTGTAGGCCCAGTGGTTGGGAGGCCGAGGCAGGAGGATCCCTGTGAGTCCAAGGCCACCTTGGGCTACATAGTGAGTTCAAGCTCAGCCTGCATTACAAAGCAGGGCTCTGTCAAAAAAAAAAAAGCCAATAAGCAAATGAAAAGATGCCGACATTAGTAGTTAAAGAAATACAAATCAAAATCACAATGAGAGGGAGCCAGGGATTTGGCTCAATGGTTCCACCGCCTGCCTCACAAGCAGATAGGGCTCGAGTTCAATCCCCAGTACCATTAGAAATATATATCACAAAGAAAGGGGCTGAGGATTTAGCTTATTAGCCCCTTGCCTGCCTGGCAAGTGCAAGGTCCTGAGTTCAACCCCCAGTACTGAAAAAAAAAATCACAATGAGATACTGCTTTGCACTCCTGGGTCAGCTCTATTTAGAAAGACGGCCGGGGATTTAGCTCAGCGGTTCGGTGGCCTGCCTTGCAAGTGCAAGGACCCGAGTTCAATCCCCGGTACCAAAAAAAAAAAAGACGGGGAATTACAAGGATTAAAAAGAAGGTGGGGAAATTAAAACTCTCTTTTGGGGCAAGTGGGAGTGTAAAATAGGGCCACAGCTCCAGAAAGTGATTTGGCAATTGTCACAAAAGTGCTACTCTCTTAGATATTTACCCAAGAGAATTGAAAATGTGTGTTCACAAAAACTTGAATATGAATGTGCATAGCAACATTATTTGCAATGGCCATTGATTGGTGGATGGATCAGCAAAATGTGGAATGTTTGGTGGAATATTATTCAAGCATTAAAAAGAAATAAAGCACAAATACATACTACGACAGGTACAGACTTTGAAACACTGTACTAAAGAAGCCGGGCACCAAAAAACACATATTGTATAATTTGTATAACATAAATGGAATAATTCCATTTATTATGACCGTGTCTTTAATAGGCAAAGCCATAGAAGCATAAAGTAAATTAGTGGTTGCTGGGAGCTGGGCGGAGTGACTGCTTAAGAGCTTTAAAACTGTTTTAAACTGGGCAGAGGGTACAGACTTTGGGGAGGATGATAAAAATGTTTGGAATTAGATTGCGGTAATAGTTGCACAATGTTTTGAATGTGCTAAAAACCACTAAGTCTCACACTTTAGCACATTAAAGTGGAGAATTTTGTGTAAGGTAAATTTTCTCTCAACTTAAAAATATCTCTATGCGTACTGAACATTGTACTTGGAAGGCATCGATCCTGACATAATAGTTCCTCAGAAATTGCTATTATTATTGATACGTGCATTTCAGCCTAACAACAATTCTAGGAGATGGTGCAGAACCGGCTCTTTTTACTTGTGGAATTCAGGCTTATGGAGGTGAAGGAACTTGCTCAAATTTACACAGCAAATGACAGCCTTAATGACAGTGGAATGAATTAATTTATCCACTCAACAGATTATCTATAGAGCACCAATTATATGCCAGGCACCGTTCCAAGTGCAAATGAAGGAACGGGTGCATCCTAAGCACCGGTATCTGTCGCAGCTCTGTAGTCCATAGATAACTACCCTTTGCTACATCTCCACAGCTCTTATGGGAAGTAACTGTATGTTTTGAAGTCTTAACTCTTAGTGTGGGCCCTGGTTTGGAAACAGGATCTTTACAGAGGTAATCAAATAAAATGAGGCTCTTGAGTTGGAACCTAACCCAGCAGGACTTGAGTCCTTAGGAACGTGCAGACAGACGTGCACACAGGGCAGGGGCCACGCGAAGATGGAGGCAGAGATGGGGCGGTGTTGCTGCACGCTCAGAAATACCAAAGGTTGTCCTCGAACCCCCAGACACAAGGTCAGAGGCTTGGGCCAGAGTCTCCCTCACCACTCAGAAGGAAGACATTTTGCTGCCCCTCCATCTTGATTTCTAATCTCCTGAACCAAACTCCTACACCTGGTGAGTTTACAGTCCAGAGAGGAAAGTATTGGTGTCCCCAGGGCCATGCAGAGGGGGAAACAGAGGGGCCTAAGGTTTGTTCTCCAGACATTTCTCTTCTTGTTTGAGTTTCTCTGGTGTCATTTTTGTGCCCAGACAGCTGAGGAGGTAGCATTGCCTCCTAACTGCCTCTAGGGGGTGACCCAGCGAAGGCAACCAGAGCCCAGCAGAGGGCGACCGAGAGCCTCCAGGCTGCCTGGGTTTGGTCCATACTGGCTGAGGTTTGGGCAGGGGCAGGCTGCAGCCTCAGTACTTCCAAGCTGGCAGTGGGCAGGGTAGTCTAGGTCCTAGCACTCAGCCCCCATTCAGTTTCTTTGCCCAACATGTCTGCACCACCTTGGGACTGCAGAACACCCTCCTTGCAACCTGGACAAAGTCCCACATATCCCCTAGCTGGGTCACAGAGCCCAATTAAACAGCAAAGCCATCACTTCTGCTATGGATGCAGCTGTGTGACCTTGGGAAGCCTTCAGACTCTCTGTGCCTCAATTCTCAAACTACACTGGAACAAACTGCAGTTCCAGAGAGCTCTTAACATCCTGGGCTCTGTCCTAACCAAGCTGCATACAGGATCTCAGAGCATCCCAGGGGCCAAGACTATGCCAGACACTGGGAAACAGATCATCAAAGGACAGACACGGTGCCTGCCTTGGGGAACTAGCAGTCCCTGTACCGATGGAGCAACTGAGGCCTGCAGAGGTAAAGTCACTGGCCAGGTCACACAGCTGACAACTAAAAGAGTCAAGGTTCAGATCATACCTCTTCCAGCCCCAGGCCACACCCAGCACCCACCACACACACACACCCTGTGGGTCCCACACTCCAGAGATCTCTCAGGCTTTGCCAAAACAAAAGCAAAATTTCCTCTTCCAAACCCACTCAGCTAGTCATCACTGTGTGGCCTTACACTGGTCTCTCTACTCCTCTGAACCTGTTTTTTCATCTGTAAAATGAACAGGGCTTACACATGGAATGAGCGTATGCATTATGCATTCTAAAGCACTTCACTCTCTCATTCATTCATTCTTTCAGTATTTATTAAGCTCTTCTTCCTTTGTGCTAGGCTTCCTGCCAGCTCTAAACTAGATCACAGCCGTAAGGGCATTGGTGTGAGGACTGTGGCTCCAGTGTGCTATGCGAAGTGTCCTAAAGGACACATTGCAGAGCACAGCTGGGTGATGGGATCCACACCTGCCCGGGGCAGCAGGTGGGTACTCGAGGACAGGAATGAGCTCCAAAACCAGGAGACCACAAGTGCATCCTACATAGAGATCAGCTGCACACCCCCCAGCATCATGCTGGATTTTCCGCACGCAGGACCAGCAAGCTGCAGCCCCTGCCCCACCCCGCCCAATGTACATGCTGCGGAGAACCCAGTGGGAGACAAGCCCTAGGAGACCCCTCCCTGGCTTCCATCAGGGTACACACCAGCCAGGGTGCCTCACAAGCGGACTTGGCCATCTTCCCATTGCAAGGAAAGCCGCCCATGATGCTCCTGGTTGCTATGGCAATGGGGCCCTTGTTTTTCCTTCTTCATAAATAAGCTATAAATAGACAGGGCAAACCTGGGCACCTTCCTTTGCATGAATTAGTGCAGCTGCTCCAGGCTCCAAGGCCCCTGGCCCAGCACCCAGGTGCAAAGCTTCTCTGCACAGTGGGGTGCAGCAGCCCAGCTCCAGGGGGAGGGGCTTGGGGGGCCCAGGGCTGCATCTCCAGGCATGGATTCCTCCATCTGCTCCTGGGGCACTGAGCAGTTGGGGCCACCTGAGCCCCACAGAAGCCCTGCCTCTGTGAGCAGGGCCCGGGCAGGGTGGGCCCTAAGTCTGCCAGCCCCAGCTGCTGGTGAGCAAGAGAGAAGCCCCCCTCCTTTCTCCTCTCTGGGTCTGTGCAAGCCATGGGGGGGATCAAGACCCCCCACTTAGCACCACAGATCATCCTAATCGCTTCCCTGCCCAATGGCATCTGTGTACCAAGACCTTGCTGTGTGCTGGGTGCTATGTTAAGTACCTTCCAGGTCACAACCTAGTTCATGCCTTGAACCAAATGAGATTCCTGCTGTACAGGTGGGGAACTCTCCACCTGGAAAGAGAAGATGCTGGGCCCAAGGTCACACAGCCAGTGAGCAAGGGAAATGGAATTTGAACCCAGGCATGTGCTATTCAGAGTGCTTGCTTTTTACCCCAGCCTCTTGTCCCAGCCTGTGTGAGTCTCCCATTAACTCAGGAGCAAAGAAATAGCAGCTGGGACTCCCTACATGGGGAAAGAGCAGAAAAAGAAGCTGAAACTCGGAAGGACTCAGGGACTTGCCCAAGGTCACCCACTGAGGGAGAGGCAAGGCTGAGTCTGGCTGCAGAAAAAGTGGGATCACTTTCACCCTAGAAGGCAGACTCTCGGGGCATCAGGACTGACCTGGCAGGTCTGGAGGCTCCCTGGAGGACATGAGGCCCACTCAAGTTGTGGAGGGTAACAGCGGAGAGTGGGAAAAGCCTTCGCTTCGAGACAGAGCAGGAATGACAGTGTGTTAGGTCCGCACTGTGGGAGGCTGAGACAGGATGATTGCAAGTTCAAACCCAGCCTGGGCAGCTTAGCAATTTAGTGAGATGCTTGTCTCAAAATGAAAAATAAAGAAAGGGCTG